TAGACACTGGGCCATCCCAAGTCCTACTAGGCTGAGGGGGACCACAGAAATGCCCCCTAAAGTATCCCCTCCCCTTTCCCCCCAACAGCTGCTGGCTCAGTGCCGCTGGCCTGCTGCCCCTCACCAGCTCCCGGCCCGGTTGGCACCTACCCACCAGGATGCTGGCAGTCCTGCCCTCCTCTTTCTCCTACCCCCCTGCTCCCAGCGCCCCATGCCAACTGTGGGCCTGGGGTGGGGGAGGGTCACCCCTTGGTGCCTTGGTGCCAGCCAGGCGGGCCCAGGCCCCGACGCACTACAGATAAGACCCGAGACCCTGTTCTCAAGCCATCCCCTCAAGAGGCAGCATACCAGTCAGGGACTACACCAAGAAGGCACAGGAGGCTCTGGGTTGTCCGATGAGCAGTTACTGAAGGCTCCACTCCTTGAGGTGGGGTCAGTGTCTCTCCCTGCCACCAGGCGCCAGCCTCCCGGCATTCCTTCTGCCTAAGCATTTGCTTGGGCACCAAAGTCCCTGCAATTCCTGAGAGCCCTAATGCCCGCAGCTTGCAAGGGAGTGGGGTGGGGCTGTTCTCTGCCCTTTGATCCCCATAAAGGGAGGGAACCAGCCTAGGGGGCAGGGGGCAGGGAGGGAGTTCATGGGGCCCCTCCATTTCACCCCTGCCAGGGGCAGCAGGGCAGGGTGTGGGCATCTGTTGGGTGGGGCCCTAAGGTGAAAATGGGTAGCATGTCTCAGCAAGGGAGAGGGATGTCAGTCAGAGTACATGGTGTCATGTGGGAACAGGATGGCAAGAACAAGGTGGGAGATGAAGAAAGTACCCATGCTCCAACCCATCCCAGTCCTGGCTTTTATGCTCATCCAGACACATTTCCAGACTTAGCCAAATTGAGAGATCAAGGAGAACTACAACTCCCAGTGTGCACCACAATAGCTTTTCATGTACCTTGGGAGTTGTAGTTCCCTTGAGCAACTCTGTGCTCTCTTCTTCCCCCAGAGCCCTGCAGATGGGCTGGGCAGAACAGATGACTTGGTCAGAAATCTCTAAGGCAACTGTGTTTGGAAGAGGCAAAATGCTAGGAGGTTCATGGTGGGTGGAGAGGACCCCTGCTCCCAAGCAAAGGGGGAGGAAAGGAGGAAGGAAGGAGGAGAGGATGTCTGTTGAAAGGGACATATGGGTGGGGAGGAGTTGGGGGGGGGGTGGAAACAGGAAGGAAACTGAAGCCAGAGACATGAGGTCGAAAGCAAGGGCCTGGGGGAGCCCCACTCTGAGGCCTGGCAAGGACTGGGAAGGCATTTCCCCTGCTATTCTGGTGGCCAATGGAGACACAATAGGCGTTAGTGATGTGAAGTGATAGCAAATTGGGACTTGTGGGGGTTGCTGGCTCCATCAGCCTGCCACGAGCCCTCTTTTGCTTGGGGCATCCTCAACCCCTGGATCTGGGGTGGGGGTCTGCTGGCTGGGGAAGTCTGAAGGTTGATTGGGTTCTGGGGATGCTGACAAGAACAGGAAGGCTTTGGGGGAGGTCAGGGTCAACGCCTGATGGGGAATATAGTGGAAAGAGGCATGTGTGGGGTTAGGACCAGGTGTGAGGTCAAGACAGCCTGCTGGCAAATAAGAATGTTATCTTCCAGGGCGGAGGCCACAGGCAGCTGGGAGGCCTTGGGGATGAGAGGGCTAAGTGCCAAGACCACCAGACTCCCTACCTACCCCAGGCTATGGGACAAAGTGAAGAGGTCTGAGTCCCTGAAAAATTTGCTAAAGTTAGATTTTTCCATGTGCTGGGCAGCCTGTGAATATTAAAGGTGGCAACTCAAGGGACCAGATGGCAGCTGGGTGCCTTTCCTTAGTGGGGATAGAGGTCAGAAGTGGGCAGAGGCTCTGCTTGGAGGCCATTTCCCCTGGACTCCCCAAGGCTCTGGGACAGATGCTTACAGGCCCCAGCCAACACTCTTGCCAAAACTTGGGCCTGCCTGGGTTGGGGGGGGGGTCGTTCTTGTCCCTCCAAAGCCCTTGATGGTGGACGACAATGGCTCTATCCCCTTCCTCCCAGTCCCCCAGGCCCGCCTTGGCGCCTGGCCGCCTGTGTGTTGGCAGGACTGGGGGGGCGGCGAGGCAGCTTCAAACTGTCCGGGCAAAACGTCAAGTTTACTCACGAGTTTACTCAGCAGAAGGAGGGGGAAGAGGCCAGGGCGGGCACACCCCATGCCAGGGTCCTATCCGTCTGCCTGTCCCCACCTTCCTCCCCCACCCTCTTCAGCCCTAGGCCAAAACAGGCATAGGCCCCAAGGCCTGGTGGCAGAGCAGTCTTAACCCTCAGAAGGTCAGGGAGCCATGCAGGCTGGAGGCAGGAAGCCCTGACGCAGGCTCAGAGGCTGCTATCAGAGGGTAGTGCCCTGCTGCCAGTCCTGTCACTATGCATCTTGGGGTCTCAGCCATGGACCAGAGCTGGGTCTCTCAGCCACCAAGAAGAGGGCAGTACTAGGCCAGACCTCCACTGTCTGAACAGTCCTCTGGGCAGTGACTTCTGAACCCACATGCCCAGTCCTTGGCTAGCCTCAGGCCTCATGATGCCACTGGGGTAGCCACAGGATTAGAGCTGGCTCTCACAGCCTTGGCCTAAAACGAGGAGTAGCACTCTACTTGATTTCTCTTCCCTCCTCACCTGCTTTCACCCTCTGCTTCTTTCCCCCAGCCTTCACTGTCCCCACCCCAGAGGTGCTCCGCCCCCCATGCCCGCTGGGTCCCCTCCCCCACCCTTCCCCAGGGTGCCAAGTGCAAGCACACAAAGGGCCCGATGGTGCATTGTTAGCCCAGCCCCCGCTGCCCGCCTCGCCCTCCCGGGGCGGGCACAAGGCCAAGGAGGAGCTGAGGGCCTTGGGTGCCAGGGGGCACCACAAGGAAGGGGGACAAGGTCAGCAGCACCTGTCTCCCTGACACTGGGGTCCTCTGCAGGCAGAGTGGCGCAGTGATGAGAACGTGCTATCAGAGCAGGCCTCTCTCCTTGACACCTGAGCCTAGTGGGCACTGCCTTCTTTCTTCCCTAGAGCCCCTTTCCAGTGGTATTAACCCTTTCCTGACCCCTGTGTTAAGGCTAGGGGGTGTGGTACCCAAGGGAGGGGACAGTGCCTGGGGGTGCCAGCAGGTTGCATCGTGCCCACAGCAACCATGTAACAGAGGCACGCTGGGGGAGCTGGGGTCCCGGGGGCCAGGGAAAGGAGGCACTGACGGAGATTTCTTCTTGTTTCATCAGCTGCTCCAGGGGGAGCCCCCTGCCCTTCTCCCCAGTCACCACTAAGGAGGAACACTAACCACTACCCAAACCCAGTCACAAATATGACCCTCTCTGGCCTTCTTATGCCCATTCTCCCCTTCCAACCTGATGCCCACTCCATGCCAGCTCTCCTAGCAGTGCCAGGCAGGTATAGGGGTGACCAAACCAGTTGGTGTGTGTGGGGGAGCAGAAGTCAACCCCATAATCCTCCAGGCTTTACCCCCCCCCCCCACACACACACACTTACACCCTCAGGGAACAGAGTTCCCATCCTGGTTTAACCCCTCACACTACCCAGTCTATCTCCCCTTGCCCCTGATAAGATGTCTCCCTTCTCCAGGAATAAGTTGGGGGAAGGGGGAATAGCTGCGCTGACTCATTCCCATTCTCAGCTGCACCTTGGGGTCTCCAAGGCATTCCGGTGGGGGTCAAGTCAAGTACACCCTCCACCTGGCCCGGAAGCCAGGACAGCTTGCTGGTCTCCCCCTCTCCCCAGCACCCACTTCCGGTGTCCCAAACTAGGTCAGCAGCGCTCGTTTCCTGTGGGTCAGCTAGCACCGGCGCCTCTGCCCCTCCCCTGCTCTGGACCCAGGCTCCCGCCCCCCCCAGGGCGCCCCGAGGTCTCACCACGTCTCAGCCGCCCTTTGATACGTGGGGGTTGTGCGGGGCGGGGGGCAGGGGACCCGCCCTCTCTCCAAACACCAGCAGGGCCGGGGCGCCTGGGCAGGCACGTGTCCGGGCACAACCCGCTGCCCACGCCGCCCCCCCCACCCCTGCCCCCCCCACCCCCGGCCGGGACACGTCGCTCTCTGACTTGGGGTGGGGTGGGAGGAGAGAGAAAGCTGGAAACTGAAAGCAGCGCCCCCCACCCCTTTGAATGGCAGCCCTCTGCCAGCGGCGTTCTTAGTAGGTTCTCCAACAACACATTAGCGACCCCCATTCTGGGTAGGGGCAGGTGCGCCGGCGCGGGTGGGTTGACGGGTGGTAGGTAAGATTCTTCCCGGTCACCCACCCTCGTTCTCCCGTGTGCAGGGGGCCAGAGCTGGTTTTGAAAAGGCGGCGGCGGGACTGGAGTCTGAGGAAGGGAGTGGGTTTGAGGGGTGGCAGAGAGAGGGGTCGTTCTAGCGTCGTTCGAGGTTGTCTTAGCTTGTCGCAAAGCCCCTCTACCCGAGAGAGAGAGCGCGGCTCTGGAAGCGCAAGAAACCGAATAGTCCAGCCGGTAACTTTCCCCCAAGCCGCGACTCCTCCTGTACTCCCCCCACCCCCCAAGCAACTGGCCCGGGTCCAACCCACCGCGCCAGGGGGCGCGCGGGGGGGTGGGGAGCGCGTTGTCCTAGTTAGAGTCCGTCAGCGTTTCCATTCCCTCAACTCGGTCGGGTCGAGGGTCTTCCCCGAAAGTCACGAAGGAGACTGGCGGAGCGCTCAGCGCTGCCTCACCCTTTCTCCATCCCGGAGCCGCCAGCCTGTCTGATCCCAGAAGTGCAGAGAAAGTTTCTGGGGACCCTCCGCCCGGGTTTGGGGGCGGCCGCAGTTTCTTCCCTATCTTTCCTCCCAGTAAAAATCAATTCCAAAGCCCTCGGGTGTTGGAAAGGCACGGGCAAGAGGAGTGGTGGGAATCCGGTCTGCATGCGTGTGTGTGGGGGTCCCACTCACAGGACGGACGAAGGACACTGCAGTAGTCTCGAGTCTCGGGAACCCCGAGCGGGGAGACAAAAGTGGGGTACACTCACCTCTCCGCCGTTGGGTCCGCTGGCTGGAGTTGCTGGGGCACAGGGTGTGGGGAGAAGCGCGTCCCCCGCCAGGCCCGGGGGCTTGGGGCCCTGCTCCGGTCCTGGTCAGAAGGCCGCGGTCAGTCGCTCGCTGCTCTCTGCTGGGGGGCTCCTCCTCCGCAGCCCTCTGCCTCCTCCTGCCGCCCGGCCCCCCCTCGGCCGCCGAG